TGTTTTACCGTACTACAAAGATCAGTCGCCTGTATATAGGCTTCCGCTTCAATCAAGGCCTCTTGAAGAGTCGCCACCCTCTTTCGGACCAAATCAAATTTGAAGGTCGACCCGTCTTTGAGACCTCTAAAAAAGTCAGTATAGGCTACTTCATCCGGTAACCCTTGAATTTGTATTCTCATCAGGTTAAACCGCCTGATGTAAGAACGAAGACCCTCCTTCTCGCCCTGCTGAATTGTTCCTAAATCAAGGGTCGTCTTCTTCGCAGGGATGTTCATGGCGAAGTTGGAGGTGAATAAGTAAGCAAGCGTCCTAAAGCTATTTACACAACCAGTCGGCAGGTTGCCGAACCATTGTTGTGCGATTCCTGTGAGAGTCGCTGGGAAACACTTGCACCAAGTGGGATCATCCAACCCTTGAAGGTACATCAGGTTGGTGAATGCCATCAGATGGTCTTCTGGGTTAGTAGTGCCGTCATAGGCGCCTACTAATACATTTTTCACTTTGGCCGGCTGAGCGGCTTCAGTAATTTCCTTGGAGAAGGCCGACGGCTGTTCGCCAAGTCTAAGCAACCGTAGCTTCCAGTCCATAGGTTGGACGTGTTTTGCTGCATGTCCACCAAACGGAGGTGGCTGTAAAAAATACTGTTGTTGCGGTACAAACGGTAAGTTTGGTACCGCCTGGTCGCTATGATAGCCGGACTGACGGGAGGTGCCGCCTGACTGACTCTCATGATACGACTGAGTATGCCTCATCGAGGTATTTCGCAGACTGTCTTGGAAGTTTGAGGTAGAGGCCGACTCTGACAATCGGTCACTCTTCTTCTGCTCTAGCAGTAGCCGAGCGTCTGTGTATGATTTCCTCGACCCGTCCGCCTGAATATGACGAAGAGGTTTCCTATTTCCTGGAGTAGGAAAACGGTATTTTGTGAAATCAAGGGCAGTCGGCTCCCGTTTCCTAGATTTAGGATGAGGAGTTGCCTCTCGTCCTTGAACTGGCTTCCTCTTCTGTGAAGTGGAGGGTTTCTTAGCCGACTACTCCTTGTCCAGAGCAGGCGGCTTCTTGTGGATCAACTCTTGAATTTCTCCCTTGAAGTCCCTCATGAAGGTCATGAGTTCACTCCTTGTGATGGGAGCAGACCCATCAGTCGGCTGTTGCCGAACAGGAGGTGCGCCTGCTGGCTCGCTTCCTGTATGAAGATGTTCCCGTTCCCTCCTTTCGGTATGACGGGTACGTGGGGCCCTTAGGGTCCCGTCTGAAGCTGTGTGAGCTTCAACTTCAAATTCATTCTCAGTATCGTGGTCCGACTGAACTAGAGGGTCGTCTAGGGGACGTCTCTCTTCAGGAGGCGGTACAAACGTGGATGCCATCTCAGAAGTACTCTCCCCACAGACGGCGCCAGATGTTTCGGGGTTTTCTGATGTCCTGCGGGAGAGTTACAATTCCGAGACTGGAACCGGACGCCTGTACCTGCAAAACAGCGGAGACTCCTGGTGGTGGGAGCTCCGCCTCCGACGGTCAAGTTAGTACTTGATTAAGGAGTAATTAATGCGGAAATTAAAGTGATTGGGTCTCTCTAGGTGAGAGTGTTTAATGTGTGTAATCTGCGTTTTTAGCATGCTTCCTCCTTTAATGAGGATTAAGGGAGGTATTTATAACCTTGGGAAACGTGTCAATCCTAGGTTTAGGTTAACCTAGGGCTGATTGGGCTTCCCTCGGAAGTTGGGCCTGGGTGGCCGGTTTCTCCATTAGGCATGGAGTATGCCACGTGTCATGACATAATAGGTCCAAGGTGGACGAATAAGCGTGTGCCACGTGGCAAGCCCTGCCAGTTCCAACTGGGGGACACTTGGCAGGACCTGATTGGCCCACGTGGCGCATTCCGATTGGTGGGAGCAAAATCCCCTAATCAATTTTAATCCTAGAAGTACACTAATATATACTCTCGGACACTTTGTCCCTTAATTAACATAGTTTGCTAGCTGTGTTTCCTAAAAAAAAAAAGTACTCGTACCCCGTATATGGGTGCAAATATAAAGGTAGGTACAACTAAGTATGATATTTTACTCATTTGATATATTTTTTTTTTAATTTCAAGTCAGGTGGGTGCACCTTAAACCCGGGTGTATACAAAAAAATTCATATAGTGATTAGATGCTTAATTGTAAAGTGTATAGTTTGTTAAAGATAAAGAGTATTCGGTGGTATTGTTTAAGTCCAAAATTTGAAATCAAACTCGGTAAATGTTTAGCACTGGGTCACTAGCCTTCTCTTGTGCCTCCTTGTATCCACATACACACACATGCACTTTACACGTTGGAGTAATTTTGAAAATGTTCTCTTTTGTATTTTTTTTAGAAGAATTTTGAAAGGCCCGGGTTAGCGGGGTAAATAATTTGGAAGAGTGGAGGAAAGGTAAGGAAATCGCACCTCCCAAATTGTCACTAGTGGAAATTGAACTTCTTTCCACTAAATCAAGCAAAAATATTAAAGATTAACCCTATCATGCCTTAGTATATTTCACCAAGGGAAACTTTTTTTCGGCATGATTAGTGCAATTTCAAAAAAAAGAATTCTGGTGCAAATAAATACGATTGTGTCCTTGATCTGTTGTTTATGTTGTCAAAAACTCGTGCTTTAGGTTTTATTGAATGCCTTTAGAATGTCGAATTCAACATGATCGAACAATTTAATTGATTGAGCTTATTAGTAAATACAAGTACCAAACAAAGGAATACATTATCTCTATCCTACCCAATAATTCCTTATCTTACCTTCTAATTTGTATCCATCATCCCAAACACCATGTTATTGTTGTAATGTGATGGTTGTTTAATCGAGATAAATATATGCCATTCATGTTGGGTCACTACCAAATTGAAGTGTATTTTTTATTTCCAAACATTCAACAAAAGTTTTATAACTATAGCTTTGGGTTTGCTCAAGGGCCAAGGCATAACATGATTCGTCCATTACAATCAGATTGATAAAAAGGCAATGACTTGATCATTGTCTTAGGCTTAGCCTACCCAAACGCCAAAACACACAACTTTATAAAGACACAGTCCAAAGTCATCTTAAATTTCCCTCCAAAAAATGCTTGATTACCAATTAGTTCAAACTACAGTTTGTAATTTAAGTTTCTAAGTTGTCCATTGTTGTGCTAAAATCGATCATTGTCATTTTATCTTCAATGCTAGAAGGTTTCAGCCTTTCAGGTAGTTTAGGTTTCAGGAATTTTACAGTTACGATTATGTCCATCCCAAAGTGAACTTTCAAATAACAGGACAGGTGCGACCCACGCCCGTATTTAGAGGATAATCTACATATTTACAACATTTAGAAGTCAAAAGAATTTTGAGGGGGAAAAAATGATAAAATTTGCGTCACTTGATATTTTGTAGGAGATTATCTCAAGCTATGTAAACAAACAAGCTCAAGAAACTCAATCAAGGACTCAAATCTAGCACAAACGATGGGCTTAACAGGGGTATTACCGTCATTTCACCTGCTCAGCCTTCAACCTTGTGCCATCATCATTTCAATTAGAAAATCCAATATTCAACAACCAACAAATTAGTTTTCATCAAAATCAAAAAATTTGTAATCAAAATGGAGAACGATCAGAGTACGAATACGTGATTTGGCCATCATCCCGGCGATCAAACCTAGAAATTTCAAGGATTTTATAAAAATTCATCATATCGATCTCTTTATAATTTTTCAAATTCGATCTCTTTATAATTTTTCAAATTCGATCATAAATTTTATAAACAAAGAAAAGGAGAGAGAAAATAAGAAGATCAGATAGAGCTAATACATTGTTGCCATCATATCGGCGAATCAAACCAATAGGGAAACATAGTTCATTCATCATTTCCATTTACTCTCCAATTCATTTTCAAAACTTAAATCAAAACAAAATTACAAAAATCGCAAATTTGAAAAATCTGAGAAAATTACTACAATGGTGAAGAAGAGATGAGAGAGAAAGTATCGAAAATGGAGTGAGATAGGCTTAGCTTGTGGTGCTGCTTTTGCAGAAGTGAGATGAGGTTGGTGCAGATGGAACCCTAATTACTTGATTGGGGATTTTATAGAAGATGATGATTGATGCCTTGATGGAGGCTGGAATTTTAGAATCCAATTAGGGCATATTAGATGTGATGTGATGTGATCTATAGCCCAAATCATAGGCCCAAATCACATTTGAAGGAGGAACCCTACGAAGTTGTCAACATTTCTTAGGTGATGACTAGAGGGTGTCAAAAACTTACCTTATTCGACCAGATCTGACCAACAAATATATTTGACAAATTTTGACTCGTATGTAACGATAATTTAATAATTTAGCATGATTTAGCTTTTAAATAGGCCCAACCTAACCTTTCCAAACCTGACCCAAGTTTTGGAATTGACACCTCTAATATTAACCACAATAATATTTTGAATGTGAGAAATTACAATAATTGATGCAAATGTTGGTTCAATTGTAGACTTATATCCACCAAATAGACGTGGCCATTTAAAATTTAACATAATGGTCTAATGATAACACCAATATGACCTTTTTTTTTGTTTTTTTTTTGTTTTGTTTAATATCTTATATTTCAAATGGATATTAGGGACGATCTAATTGACACAGGGGTTTAGTAATACTGCTAGAAACGTGTTGTGTTGAAAACGAAACGGGACAATTAGTGGAGGACAATTGTATTGCTAACATTAAAATGCATTAATTTTACAATAGTGGAACATTATTATAAGAGGCTGTTTCATCGAGCTTTGATAACCATTAAGGTTATAAGGGTGTGTTTTATTAATTACACTTTTACTTATCTAAACTCATCACAAATGTTTCATTTAAGTGAGGTTGTGTTTTAATTTATTCAACTTATTTCAAGAGTTTATTACTAGATGTGTTTAGTTCCATTTTAAAGGAGGGAAATAGAAAGGGGGGTGTTAACATGACGTCATAATAGAAGGGGGGGGGTGTTAACATGACGTCATAATAGAGGAATTAGGCAAACAAGTGGTAATTTTTGATATGTTAAAGAATTATTGGTGATAAAGCAAAAAAAAAAATATCGAACCGTTATTACTAAAATGTCTTTAATAATAGGTGGTGTTTTTCCAAAGAACATACCCTTAAGCTTTAACTTTTCAATCCATTTTTAGAAAAATAAGAAAATTGCATCAAAACTCCAACTCAACCTTGGGTCCAAATCCGAGGCGTTGAGTGTTGACACAACCCAAAGCGGCACCGCCGCGCCTTTTCTCCTCTTCGCGTATCTTCTTCTTTTAGTCGAACACGCATCACCGCATCACAAACACTACACCCAAATTTCACAATTCTTAACCTTTTCGGCTTTTCCCCATTTTTTTTCTAACTAACTTCCTTTCTCTCTCCTCATCTGCGCCCAACAATGGCGACTTCTTCATTGCGTCGTTTCTTACATCAACTAGGTAATTTTTCTTCTTCATTTGATAAAATTAGTAACTATCATTTCTATTTGATTTTCGCCGTTTTTATAAATTGTACTTCGTTGCTAATTATGTATAATTGCATACTTGTTGTTGTTGAGGAATTTCCTAATTCAAATTTTGTTGTTGTTAGAAATTTAGAATCCTAATTTGAATGTAGGATTTGAGTAATTAGTTGAAATTTTGTGGTTCTATTGAGTAGTGTAGGTGTACAAGTTTATAACTAATTTTAACAATATTTATTAATGTGTTTGGTAAAGAGTTAATATTGAAGGATTATGTATTGTGTTAATCACTTATTTGGAAATTTGGATAAATTTGAGTAAGTTTGAAGATTTTGATCAAACGGTCGCAATTTCTTGTCGGTAAACTCTTTTTTCTGTCGTGTAGATTGCTCTTTGCAGTAGTAATTAATTAAGCAAAAGTAAAAATGTGGATACCGTGGGCTGTAGATTAAAGTAGACAAGCACATAAACGATTATGAACGAACTAATTGTGAGCCTAAATGAGTCGAATACTTAGTTGATCGCGCTGAGTTTGTATATTGAATAAGCTCGGAAATATGTCCGGTTTTTTTTTTTTTGCATAACGAAAAAACTTTAGCCAAGTGGCCCAAGTTTGTTGATGAGATGTTCTTGGCTCTCATTGACATGCTTAATAAACTCATAAACTTGGTTATGGTTTATTGTTGCAATGAGAGGTGAAACCTTGGGCCGATTGTGACATCTATAACTGAACTTAGAGAAGTTTCTTCTCTAGTTAATGTATTAGAGTGTACGATTGCAGCACATCTGAAGATTTAAGTGAATTCCTTGACTCTTAGGCGTAGGTCTAATTGTTTATGATTTGCTCCATTTTGATGTTGGCCTATAGTCTGTTTGGATCTATTCTAGTTTTTTTGGACTTTGGTTCCAACTATAGATGAGAAGTTGATTTGCCTACTTTTGAACCTAACTATTGAAAAAAAGTAGTTCATATCCTTTATTGACCATAGAATCACTCTATGAATAGGTTGTTTCCTTTTTGTTTCTTGCTCGATTTATCTATGAAGTGCTGTGCTAACATCAGTTGCCAATCATAGTAATGAGCATAAAGTTAGTTTCGTGGTCAAGTATATGTTTCTTTGGGTTGAATGGGTTGAGCTTTTAGAAGTATAGGGGTTTTTGTTACCTCGTACAATAAGCATCGGCTGGATGCTTAGTAATGCAGCTTCTTTTCTTGCTCCATGGTTCTATTTCATGATCGCCCTTACCCAGTTCTTTTTGCTACTCTGTTTTTGCTTCTTTTTTTAGCTTAAAATTTATTTGCTACTTCAGTGTGCAAACCTTTCTATCGTTAAGCCATTTTGCTTGTGACCTTTCTTTCTTTATGCTGAAGCACTTTTGCATGTATTTGCCCATCTTTTTGTTCTGCTTTCTTCTATTATATGTGTTAGTAATATTTAATCACATCTGTAGATAAGCACATGGTAAAGAAACATGAATCATATGGAATGCTCGTATATGGCGCTCTTACCAGGTTTCGATCGCTATCTTCAAAGTCTGACAGCAAAGGTTCATGTGAGACATCTAAGAGGTCTGAGCTCATTGATAAGACAGATTATGATCGCACACTTGGAAAGTATAGCTCTGATGATGATGAACTGAATGATAGTACACGAAAGTCGGAACTTGCATGGCTTACAAAGGCACTTGAACCTGCACTACAGCTTTGTAGGTGGGCTTTTCCAGGTCTGGTAATTGCTAATTTTGTAGTTCATATACGAGGCTTTATATCAAAACAGAATATAATAAATGTTTTGGTAAATGGTTTTCTAAGTGCACCATAAAGTTGTTAGTCATGTAAGGGACTTTTAGCTTTAGAATTTAGATCAAGGGTTTTATAGGAACAGTTTCCTTAAAATTGTATGGATAAGATTGCATATAATCCAGTTCTCTACCTCTTTGGGTTGAGACGCTCTTAAGGCATTGGGGGTGGTGGCATAAAAGATTTCCATATAAGGCCTTATTTATGCTTTCTTTGAGAGTAGTCAATTCTGTCATGGTGACCTTGCTTAATTTGCATGATTCGTGTATCAATTCTTTAACCATTCCAGCTAAACCAGTTTCATATCCCCAAGCTTTAAATGCTTGCTGATGTCTTTGTCTTCCCATTACTAACATAAGTAGATAAATTGTTTTCTTAATCACTCAAAACACACACACACACACACCACACACACACTGGCCAGGCCTTGATAATCCTTTTTGAAGATGAAGTATTTTGTTTTCTCTTTCTTTCTGTATAGTCTTCCGGTCAAAAAACAATTTTAGTGAAGACCTCCATGAATTATTCATTTATCACTCAATAATGTTACATTTTTTTTAAAATTTCTTATGTATAGTTGCCTTTGAAACACTGTACGTTACAAGTGTTGAATGACAAAATGGCTGCATAATTAATTTTTATTTGCTGTAATTCTTGAGAAAGTTAAAAAATATTTTGTTTGTATGGAGTCTCCTTTAAAATTTTTGTTTCTTTCTTTCAGTTGGTAACTGGGGAAGTTGTTTTACATAGCAGGAAATGGTTCTGAAAGTAAGCCTCCACCTAGTAGTCGTTCAATTGCTGAAATTGTTGCTAGTATCCAGAGAAGTAAGACTGGATTACAAGACTGGAGCCTCTCTGATCTCACAATTGGACTGTACCTTGTTTATCTTCGTCAAGCATCTGCAGCTCCACTTGTAGATGTCAAGGGTGTTCAAATCACCTCGGAATCCGTGGTAAATTTCAGAAATAATGTTGTTATGGAAACTTTAAATATGTTTACCTACCAATATCCTAGTTGCTGCAGGATTCACACTACGTTTTGTTTTTGTAGTTTGTATTTAGACTATTAATTCTCCCTTCTTTTGATGCTTATGTGAATCAGGTACAAGATCTGATATATCACTTGGAATTAGCCAGAGGATCATATAGAGACACCCCTGCAGGCCTCGCCAGGCAAAGCATGCTTCGAGAAAGCAACATCCTGAAATTCATCAGGAATTCTAGCGTGATGAGACCTGGCTATTACATCGGTATTGATCCTCGCAGAAAACTTGTAATTCTTGGCATCCGTGGAACTCATACTGTATATGACCTTGTAACTGATATTGTGTCAACAAGTGATGGAGATGTCACCTTTGAAGGCTACTCAACTCACTTTGGTACTGCTGAGGCTGCTCGCTGGTTTCTGAATCATGAGATGGGAACGATAAAAAAGTGCTTGCATAAACATGAGGTTGTGAAGCTTTTTATGTAGCTCAATTTGATATCTGCTTCCTTTTTCAACTTACTTTTACATACATGTATACATTTTACTTTGTCTTTTTCAAGGCTGCTTTATTAGTATGGCTTAATTTATTCACAGGGTTTTAGGTTACGGTTGGTGGGGCATTCTCTTGGAGCTTCTACAGCTTCTTTATTGGCAATGATGCTTCGTCAAAAATCAGCCACAGAGCTGGGATTTGATCCCAGTACTGTAACTGCTGTTGGAATTGCTACTCCTCCTTGTGTGTCCAAAGAACTTGCTGAAAGCTGTTGTGATTATGTCAGCACGGTTGTGATGCAGGTGGGCATATATGAGTATGTATGTTGAGTTCTGGGACAGTGGGACTATTAGGAGAGAACTTTATCTCACCTATGCAGGTTTGGTCAGTAGTCACTACTTTACTGAGTAATATTTGTTATATCGTCATGCAGGACGATGTTGTTCCTAGGTTAAGTGTCGCTTCTTTGGCAAGACTGAGGAATGAAATTATTCAAACTGACTGGTAAGCTACTGCCAACACATAATTCAGTTATTCCGACCTAAAATCTCTAAGATTGCAATTTAAGAAGCAGGAAGGGAGGTTTTGCTATGCATCATGTTATTTGGAGGAACCTTTGTCTCTCCTGTATGTGTAATTGCTACTCCATTCTAGGTTATGGTCTTATGTATGTCCAAGTTTTTGTTCTGTTCTGCTCAGTGCTTCTTTTCCTTGCAAAATTAAAAATGTCTATGTTAATTTGTTTGACTTTTATATCTATTTCAGTGTGCTTCTATACCTTTATATGTTTTTATTATAACTATAATAATTGTAATGTTGTTTCTGTTGTAGTTACTATGTTTCTCAAAAGAAGGAGAAAGACTTCTCTATAAAAAGTAGTTTCCTATAGTTTTCTTCACTATTTTATTTCAAGAACATTTTGGTTGATCTAAACAACCTTGCCTTTTAGTAAAGACTAAATAGGGGTAACTGGTAAAACTGCATTCATTTGGACCTCCTTTGACCTTGCCTATGGACCAATGATGAAATCCGTTCTGAAATGTTGTTGCTGTTGCTAGGAACCTCTGCTGTACATTAGCTAATATTTTCCTTCTTGGGTGTGGGGGCGGGGGTGGGGGTGGGGTTACTGCTTGTAGAATTTGTGAATAGGAAGTTGACTTCCATGCTTAGGTAGTGGACAATGTCACCATCCTAGCACAAATCTGACAAGTGATTATGTAAACATAGTATGCTGTAATATAAATGATTTTTTTTTCGTCTGCGACTTTGTCCTTGCCGACTTTCATTAAATCATAGCACGATATGATTTCTTTTATATCTCCTGATCTTCTGTAGGATGAGTGTCTTGAAGAAGGAAGATTATAAAAGTGTGATGGAATTTTTCACAAATGCAAAACAGGTCATGTCTTCTGTACAAGATGTAGCTCGGAAAGTGGCTGACTATGCAAATTTTAGAAGCAGGACCAACAACTCTGGTATGACCCTATGTCCTTGTAAATGTACCAATTGGAAACAGCTATTGTTTCAAATCAGTCTAAAAATTGACTTGTAGTTTTGTATTGACTATGCATATCTTGTGTCTAGCAGTAAATATTTTGGCAAATGCATTATGACTAGCTATTAAATTTACGATGATCTCATATTCCCATGGTTTGTATATTCTTAGAGGGTTTGCAATATTAAGATTAGTTGATACTGAGTAACGTCTATAAACTTTGTTGTAGATGCTGTGTAAATTGGTAATATAGCGGAAAGGGTTTTTGATGGAAGTCTTAACACCGCACTTGAAAGGGAAAGAGTGTTGCTGATTACTCTGTATCACTTTAAAGCTTGGTATTAGTTGATGGATAAAAGGATTAGTTATGCAATGTATGTGTATACAACTACTGAACATATGGTACATCACTACTGAACATTTGGTATTCATAATTTCCACTCCCACTCATTTCTGTTGTTGGTAAAAGTGGCAACAGAAAAATAAATTAGAACCAAAATTTTGTAGTTACTTACTTTGGACATTCATATTGGACAATTTGCGTAAAATAGCACATATCCTCAAATTATCTCAGTACCTTATACCATCTAGATTCTGGGCTGTCATTAATACAATTTTGATGCCTGCTCCAGAAATGAGAGGAGGAAGGGGGTGGTACGTCCTTGTATTACTTTCTGTATTGAAGGCAAACGGACATTAGTATTAAGGATATCTTCTTATTATAGGGTCATTCTTTAATATATAATTATATATTGTAATTGTTATTCTTTCTAGTCTCTTGGTGCTTTGGCCAAGTGGCCTAGAAACTGGTTTGCATTATTCAAATATAATAGATAGTTGATTCCACCTTCTGGGTTAGGGCTGGACTGCCCTTTTTTTTTTTTTTTTTTTAATGATAACTCTTTCGATATGTCGGCTCCGTTTGGTTTGACTTAAAACATTTTCAATGAAAAATAATTTTTTTGGAAAACATATTTTTAAGGAACACCACAATTGCAAATTAGTTTCTTTTTTTTTTTTTGTTTCCTTACAAAACAAGAAAATCTTAGAGAAAATGAAAATATAGGAATGGAATGGTGAGAATAGATGAGGAAAGTAAAAAGGAGGTAAGGAGGGAGGAAAATGTGGCTTCCTTTCTTTTGTAAAGGAAAATGTTTTCCACCATTGAGACTTGAGAGTGTAATTTTCCACCATTAGGAAAATTGTTTTCCGCCCCTTCACAAACCAAACAAAGGAAAATAAGGGAAAATATTTTTTCATGAAAACGTTTTACATGAAACCAAACACACCCTTCAATCCTTCATTGCATATAGATTACTTATTTTGGATAATTTTCATCTACAACTTGACTGCATACCCAGTACGCTATCTGAGTGATGAACGTATACGAAATTCAATCATCATACTAAGGCATTTATATTTTATATGACAATTGTAAGTTGTTGCCTTGACTAACAGGTATATTGACAAGTGAGGATTCGCTTGCTGGAGCCGATGGTCCCCCAATTTCCAAGCCAACTGCTGTTAACAGGGACAACGAGAATGCTGCTCTGATGCATGAAGAATTGTTTGTCCCAGGAACTATTTACTATCTAAAAAGAAATACTGATGCCCAAACCAGCAGCAGCAACAGAAGCAAAGCGAAAGAGTACTTCACACTCTGGAAGTGGCATCCTGGGCAGCATTTTCAGGAAATTTTACTCTCGAGCAATTTAATTTCAGATCACAAATGCGAAAGCCACTATTATGCTCTCAGAGATGTAATCAAAGGCTTGCCTGGATCATCCAGTGGTGAAGGTGTTTTTTGACAACTTAATCCTGGGTATAGTAATGGGTCATGCCTTGTGTAAATAGTTGTAGCAATTGTATAAGATTCCATAATTATCAATTTTGGGGAATGTTGTTGATAAATGGTGATCAATTTTTGATTTTTTGCTGCCTTGGCATGAATAGGATTGTTATTCAGATGTAAGAATAATGCCACTATTCCCTTGTGTAAAGGTTTGTTGTTTCATCCTTAATTAGGAAATAAAGACTCGATAAAGCCCATAGAGGTAACTAGGTAAGGTTGCGCACCTTTAGACGGTTAGACCTTGTTGGTTTTACTAGCTAGAAAAAGTCCGGCAGGTTTGCTGGAAATAGTTCAAGGACTGGTTTTCCAATTATAGATAGGTGGTTCCCTCCCAGTTTTCTCGTCTTTTCTACCAGTACTCCAGTTTTGCTGCTTGCCTTTATTGTGGTTTGAAGTAGTGCATTAACTGTTCTTACAGTACTTCTCCCTTTTTTAGCCTTTCACATTTACAAGTGACATTTCCTCAATGTTTTTGCTGCGTATCTGATTTATTGGTTTATAGAGCTACATCTGGGAGATTTTTTCTTAGTATGAAAACTAATTCAACTTCTCACAAGTTACAAGCAGTGGGAATTTCGAATTTAATCAGTACGGCAGAAATAATTTCCCTATTTAAAGCCTTAAATTGAAACTGTTTGTTGCAAGTCTGTTTGCTAGTCTAAGCTAATAGTGGTAGCTCGATTCGGTTAGGTCAATATTGAGCCGTTTTCAGCTAATTGATATGATTTGCTTGAATTAGACCGATATTTTACCCTATACAAGAAAACCTGAAACTGACCCGATATTGACATAAAGATGATACACCAACACAAAAGTTTATTGAAAATACTTGTAATTGAATCTGATCCGAATCAAATTTGCTCTAGTCTATTTTTAGGGGAGTTAAGTGTTGTATTATGGGAATATACTGAATGCAAGTAAATTCAAAAGCATCACTATGCATATGCTTGGAAGAATCCACGAGGTTATACTATGGTAGCATCTTTCTAAGCATATACTGTACTAAGCTTGTTATTTTTTCAATTGTTACGTAAAAACAGTGGATGCTAATAATAGGCATCATGCTAAATAATAAAGGCTAATATTGTTAGTATATTTGTTTAGTTTTAGTGGGTTTAGATTTTAGAACATTGATTTGACCAGTTTGTCCTTGCTTACATGCAACCTGTGAGTTATGATTGTGAACTTCTCCTCGAAATGGCATCTGGATAGCCCATAAAGCTGTCTTTTTCTTGCCTTTTTCTTCCTTTTTATCAGTTGATGAACTAGCAAGACCATTTACACAAGTCATACTATGTCGACTTGCTAAGTCACTGTTTTGTTTCGTTCACATATAAATACAACACAAGTCATACTATGTCGACTTGCTAAGTCACTGTTTTGTTTCGTTCACATATAAATACATACTTTGTGCGGAGTAGAGATGTGGGAATTCGAGTTGAATTTAGTTTGGATCAAGTTAGGTCTCGGGTCATCAAGTTTGTACATTTTATGTGGAACTCACTAGGAATTCAAGCGGTTTAATTTTGTGTGTTCAACCGATTGATCACTTTTACACCCATTAAGACGACAATTCCAGATCATGTTGAGTATCCATCGTTGGTTGTATAAAGTGGGCATGTTTGTGAAACATTTTTATTTATTCATTTAATTTTTACGACGTTTTCTTTTGAAAAATCACTCGATTCACACCCTTTCAAAATGGTGACATGACGTTATAAGTATAACTCGAGAGATTTGTTTTACTCAGTGGTGCTGTAGAGTGGTTGATCAATCTTGTAGTCATAGTTAGCTGACCAAATATCTTGATTATTTTGATGAGATTGTAGAGTAAGTGAGTAACAGCTTAAGAGTGATTTAAGGATAAACCAATTAAGAGAATTAAAAATGGTAACTTAGGTAATGATTAGAAATAATTAATTAAGGTATCTTTCTAAATTAGTGCGAACCTCTTTCCGACCATGGCCAAATGGCCCTAATCTTAGAAGGCTGGTGGCTAGTCTTAGCTTAGCTGTAATAGTTGTGACATTTACTTGTATAAATTAAGAGTATCTAGGATTTTGTAGCATGCAAGAAAAAGGCCTATTCTATTCTTCTTCTTTTCATGTGAAATTAATACAGTACGGAGTAGCATTTTTATTTGTTGGTGACAGTTTTTCACCTTGTTGAATCAGATCATGACGTGCGTCACGTGCTCTTCGTTTCTCGTTAAAGGAATTAAGGATATTATTCATGCACTAGCGTTAAAATATGGTTTTCTCACGTGGACTCGTAGTTAGGGTCTAATAAGTTCCGACTCGAGTGTCTATACTTCGCTCTTAAATTCGTTCAGTGGCTTGTGCATCTCATATGTTGGTACATGTATTGTGTATTTGCGTCTTATTAGTTAGTTAGGTATGATGTATGTATCACCATGCATTATTATACTAAAATTGATACAAATAGCCTACTTTGAAGAAGCAAATTCTCCAGGTAAGATGTTGAGGCTAGGGGTGCTTATCGAGTGAGTCGATCACGAGTTGAGGGTGCTTGACTCGACTCAAAAACTTTTTACATGTGCTCAACTCGTGCTCGCTAAAGTTTCGAGCTAATAAAACATGCTCGACTCGTGCTCGTTAAAGTTTCGAGTCAAGTCGAGTCCCTCACGATTTGCTCGTTAAAGTTTTTGCCTTCTATAATTATATGCCTTTATGTTATTTTTTTCACTTTATATTGTTTATTTTATTTTATTTTATTTTATTTTATTTAAATATATTTATTATTAAAGATTTACTCTTTCTTTTTGATAGTATAAATTAACACTTATTAAGTGTCAAATTTGTTTAAATATGGTAACTTTATTTGTAAATTCTATATTAATAAAATATATTATCGAGTTGCTCACGAGTTTATCAAGTCGAGTTAGAGCTTGCTCAACTCGTGTTCGTTAACACTCAAGTCGAGTTCGAGCCGAGCTAACTCGAGTCGAGTTTTGACCGGCGTCGATCGAGTCGAGTTCGAGTTGCTCAACTCAATTAACACCTTTGTTGAGGCCATGAGCAAACTCACATGTGAGTGAAAGTGTTGTCCCACATCAAAAGAGTATGAAAGTGTTGAGAAGTGTATCCCACATTGAAGAAACAAGAAAGTTGTGTCCACTTTATAAGGCTAAGGGGCTACTCCCCTCATTGTCATATGATTTTGAGGTGGAAACTCCTTGCACCTGTATAGTGGACACTTGTGACGGGTGTGGCCTAGGCCCGTTTATCATAAGACAATCTTACCATTATAAGACCACTTTTGTGAGTCATTACAAATATGTGACTCTATCACTTCTTTTTTTCCTTCTCGTCTCAACCCACCTACAATATAGTCTTACGATGATAAGCAAGACAATTTTATTTAAAATTTGTAAATTCTCTAGTAGAAGTGTTTGAGAAATGGGTTATTATTAGTTGATTTATAATTTCAATATTAATTATTACTAATACAAAATAAGATGATGTCGTATAAATCTATTTAATTTTCCGTAGTAGGTCATAAGCCGTTACAAATTTAATAATAGTGCTTAATTAATTCATCGAAAAATAATCTTTATTTTTCGACGATCGAAAACAAAAACTTGAAAGCACTTGCTTGAAGTTTAAAGAACAACAATGAGTCCATGACCAAAGTCATGGCAGAAGAAGACGAGGCAAATTCATACCTTCCACAAATCTTATTAGTAGTTAGTCAAACATAAATCCAAATTAGCTTAAATGCAAAGTTCAAATTATGCTCTTTGTTGTGCGACAGCGGAAGCAAAGGTCGTAAACAAACAAGAAAACAATAAAGAAATTCAATGCAAACAATAAGAACAACACCAAGAATTTACGTGGTTCACTATCGATGTGATAGCTACGTCCACGGGCACCGAGATCGAATGATTTCACTATAAACTGCAAAGATTACAAAGATGATTCTTGTATTTCTCAAGAACGGCTCTCACTCTGTCTCTCTTAACCCTAATACTGATATTAGGGAGGTTTTATATTAATCCCTAATTAAAAGATACTTGGGCAAAAAGATAATAAAATAAGATAACCTAAAACCGCAAAATCCGCGTTCCGTATTTTTCCTTCTCCGCCCGGTCAGACCGGGCAAGGTCTGCCCGATCGGGCGCGAGAAGAAAACTCCATACGAATGCTTCAACGTATCCAACCCCCACCGCCCGGTCAGACCGGGCAAGGTCTGCCCGATCGGGCGAAGGCTCGCCCGGTCGGGCGAAGGCTCGCCCGGTCGGGCGCGAGAGCAGCTTCTTCAACGAATTTGCCAGGCACCTCTTCTTCTTCCGCCCGGTCAGACCGGGCAATGTCCGCCCGATCGGGCGGACAAAGCTACGAAGTACGAGTCACCTAATATACTTATCAACAATCTCCACCTTGACGAGAACTCGTAGTCAGCAAACAACCCCATCAAGACATAGTGAAAAAACATCTCAAGCCAAACCCGATGCAGGACTCATGCATAAGCCATACATCCCGATAAGTCTTCAACCAAGACCCATCACATACTCGTCTCCAAGTATAACAACTCATAATGCTCCACCTGCATCACAAGCCCCGGGCAAGCTCCACCTTAAGGCCAACACACCTACACCAGGAGCTCCCCAACTTCGCCCCTCAGGGCCTACTACATCACGTAGTAATCAATATTTAGCAAGTCTAAGCAATGTTTAAACTTGCTAAACGGAACAGGCTTAGTGAAGAAATCAGCCGGGTTGTCAGCAGTCCCAATCTTCTTCACCTTAATCCTCTTGTCAGTACGTAAGAAATGATACCTGACATCAATGTGCTTCGTCCGATCATGGTGTACTTGATCTTTAGCTAAGCAAATCGCACTTAGACTATCACAATACACTGTAGCAAAATCCTGTGCAATACCCAGTTCACCTACTAGGCCTTTGAGCCAAATAGACTCCTTAGCTGCAGAAGTTAGAGCCATATACTCAGCTTCAGTAGTTGACAACGTAACTGATGACTGCAATGTAGACTTCCAACTAACCACAGAACCACCCAAA